CGTAACTGCAAGCTCGCACCTTACCAGTTCGCTCGAATTACGAGTTTACCCCTAGTCCAACTGATTAAGGTCCAGGCGAACATATTATATTTGATGGCCCTCATGCTCTTGGTCGTTTTTTCGATTACCTGTGATCCTTCTTTATCCCTACTTTTCGCTCTTTATTTCTTTAAATACTTTTTGACTGATGAAGAATTCGAAATGGCCACTGCACCCATACCTTAACACATGGCAACCGTTTCTAGTGTAACGTACACACGTGTCCTCTTCTTCATCACGTTTGTTCTTCTGTTTTATTTACATTTTGTATTAAAAGGGTAACAATTATGTACTTACCTTTCCAGATAACTGAAGTGAAACCTGACATCAAGATATTGCATCTTGTTAAGTTTTCGGAGGAAATGCCTGTAATCGCAACCTAGGGATCTTTTTTTATGAACGCTATTATTTGCCAGAGTATTGTATAAAAGCTTTACTCGTGTTATCGATTCCCTGATGAAATGCGATGGCGTAGAAAACAGGTTGAAACTGATATTTTGGCTCTCTCATCCAGGCTCCAAGCTTGAATCCTTGATTCGAACTCCAAACAGTCTTTCTCGGTATCAGGATCTTTATACAGCGATTACTGCCAATCTGGAGGAAGAAGGTAGAATGAAGAATTTTACTTAAAGTTTAATTTAACCTCTCCTTTTTCCCGCGTGTAAGTTTACATTTTAATGTTTAAAAACACGGTATCAAGAAAAGGTAACAGTATTGTTTTCTTGACCAGTTCTTAGAGTTCTTGCAGAATGATTGCAGCTTACTTCCACAAACTCCATTTCCCAGTCAAAGACAAATCATAAACCGTTTCCTTGCAGAAGAAATTGCTGCCGAAATGCAGAAGTTTCAATTACGTGCATCAAGGAACTAAGGGTGTTAGTACCAAAAAGGAGAACGCTGACAGCACCATCAACCTCTCTGAGCTCAAGAACAGCATCTGCAGCTTCTTACAGTTCGACAGGTGCTCAAAAAAACGAAAACAACCTGCCAAACGCCACAGCCTTCCCTCAACTAAAATATCCCACAGATGTCAATTTTTGCAGAAGTTTTACCAATAGGCTTCACCCTTCTCTGCCCAACAGTTTCCAGCCTCCTTTCCGAGCTAACAATGATGGGACGGGAAGGAATGAAGTGATATAGCGGTACCAAGCTGCCTTAACTTCCGATCAAATTAAAAAATTGTCAAGTCAGTGTTAGCTTGCCTCGTTCTGGTTGAAATATTTTAATTCGTAAACTTGCTATAATTTCTTTCAATTAATCGTCTCTAACAAGATAAATTATATCAGAATTATTACAATTATCTCAGACAAAAGTGACTTAACGTTAGATAGGAATATCCTGGAGCCTGTAAAGATGTGCACTAGCATTACAGGGTCAAAGACACTGACAATTTAGAAGGAATATTCCTTTTTTTGCCCTTTTAACTCGTACAAATTATATTTTATTGCTTATATACTGCATTAATAGAAGCAACTCGTGTAACAATTGAAGCAGTAGAGAAGTTTCAATCCTACAATAACGGAAATAACATTTTTGTCCGTTTGAAGGTCTGCATTAATGGTTCCTACGCGTCTTTACATTTCACCAACTACAGTCAATCTTGTATCAAATGGCCACCCACGGGGTTCCACAGAATAAGGGCATCATGTAAAAAACAGGCCTTTTTATGTCATAATTGACTACTTAATGTACACAAACTCCCTCAAAAATATTACAAAACTGATTTCGGGAGAGAAATATAGATTCAATTTTACTTAAATAGTATTCTTAGTTTTATTTGAGTACTTCCGCTGCGAAGTGACCGTTCAACACAGGTGGAAGACAATAGACAATAGAGGCCGCCAGTACTCACTCTAAGGTGACCGCTTAATGGAGGTGGAAATTGATTAGGGGGAACAAATTCGGGACTTTGACAACCGACCGCTTAGTGTAAAGTGACCGCTTAATACGGTGCCTCTTAACTCAGGCTCGAAGGTATTTACATTTATACATGTTCCTAAAATAAAACGTAAATTGTACAACTATCAAGTGTTGTTAGTATAGTTTAGAAAGGCCATTGATAGACATTTTGTTGGTATGTGTTTACTTGCAATTAACTGTTGAAAACAGCTGTAGTCACACTCAAGCCTGTATTAAGCAGTCAACTACGGGGTACGGCGGGGTGACCGCTAAATTCAGGTTTACCGCTTAAGACAAGTTTCAAAGAATAGGGGTGAAATAAAAAACGGTGAAAAACGCCATGTTACGCTATAATTGATCTTTCAATATAAAAAAAAACTCGCTCAAAAATACTACTTACATTGATTTCGGGAGAGAAATGTGGATTACACTTGACTCAAGAGGTTATTCTCAGTTTTATCTGTGTAGTTCCGCTTCAAATGACCGCTAAATATTGGTGAAGGACAATACATCATTCAGAGGTGACCAGTGATTAAGGGGAAGAAAGTTTGACAACCGACCGCTTAATACAGGGTGACCGCTTAATACTGTGCCGCTTAATTCAGGTTCGGTTGTATTCCTAGAATTACCTTTTAACCACGTGGCTACAAACTAATATTTTGCCTACAGTTAAAATGTCTTCGTTTACCATCAGAGTAAATGCCAGGTTGTTTCCCTACGCTGTCAGAGCGTGTTCCTCGATTCATGAAAAACAAACTCGATAATGGTTTGATCAGTGTGATTTGGCTGTGTCTCGCGCATCAATTTTGGATAGCCTTAACATTACGGGCCTAAAATTAAATAAATTTGATAATGTTAGCAGTTCAGGTTGACTACTTAAATCTTACTACTAATTGCAAACAAAGACTTACCGGTTCCAAGACTGTATAGTGCGCTTGAAAACCTTGGAAATTTGCCGTCCAACATCATTCAAACTTCCTGGTCGCGGCGACCGCATTAACCTCCAGAGCGGGAAAGCGCACATAACAATAAGCATGTCGTTTATTGATACATAAAATGTCTCACCGATTGACTGTTTTCTCTCCACCCTTGTGCTCGCCCTCTTCCCGCTTGAAATCATCGGAAAAGACACCCACACTTTACATATATATCTGTTTATTTCACAGATCGAGTTAAAAAATAACTTTAACTTGAATTCGTAGCATGTAAATGGCGTACTGAAATCTAGAAGGGTGCACTTCTTTCAAAATACTTACACCACCTCTGTGTTACCATAGATAACTTCTATCAAAAAAAGACTTATTCGCCTATCGAGCCTCTAAGCACAATAAAAAAATACTTCCAATTCAAATTTGTTTATATAATATGTACTAAATTGTTGTCTATTTTAATATCCTATCATGAACGACTATCAGAGCTTGTATACAGTCACAGTCAATGTCAATACTAGCGATAACATAACACATAAAGTCAGTTACAACATGTTTCCTTGGGGTATATTTTTAGCACATTAAGATCCTTTTGATTGAAATTTCGGAAAAAAAAATTCATTTCTAAGACCAAAGTCAAAGGCTCCACCCAAAGATTCTTAGGATTCGATTTCAATCAGGGACTAAACGTTGCAGCTCAAAATTTAATAAGATAACATTCCTATAATATAAATACCTCGTTTCAGTTTTGTGGTTCTGATCAATGGCAGCAAGAGAAAATAACTAATTTGGCATTCCCTTGAAAATTGCTCCAAACATGCTACAAACTAATGAAACGTGAATCGCAAGATTAATAAACCAATTTTCTGGCTTAATAATATTTGGATGATTAAAAAAAAAAACTGCTAAAGATGGCAATTAAAACGTGTGACCCATAAAAATACCCAGAAAAAAACCGATTTTATATTAAAGACTATCAAAAATAAATATGCACTATCAAGAAGCTGCAGCTCTCAAGAACAGAATTAAATGATATAAAAAATATATTCTTTGAAATATAGGAAAAATAACAAAACTACTTTACAGTATAATCAATTTCGCATGGGACAAGCTACCAAAATACCAAAAGTAAAGTAATGAGATGAATTGACTTGACACCAGAACACATCAGAAACTTTGTCGTCGTCTTCCTTTGCTTTGATCAGTGTTTTAGTATCATTACATTGTGGTTTCCATTGTGGAACATACTGCCAATCGAAAGCTGTTATCTTCATCACTATCAGATATGTTAAACGGCTTCTCAGTCATTGTATCTAGGAAATCTTAACAATCCTTTTCATCATGTTGTTGATAAAATACAAATTGATGCTCAATCGAACATGGAATCCAGCTCAGAAGAGAAATCACTCAGCATACTGTTGATGTCCTTCATAAGATCTTCAGCCAATCTGCAGGGAAGAGAGGAGAGAACCCGATAAATAGGACAGCTGTGGAACGCACAACACGCAAATGAACAACAGGAAGTCGGAAGATCTCTCGAGGGGACGCGCGAGTCATGGACGGGGAGAGAAACACAGAACCTGATAAATAAGACAACTACGGAACACTGGAACAAGGACAAACTAAAAAACTTGCATCGCAAGATCTCTAGTGGGAAACACGCGTGTCGTAGACTCATTGTCCACTCTCGCTGGACTCGTATGAAGCCTTCAACGATTAAAGAGGTACACGGAATAACGAAAAAGTACAAGACATACTCCTGCTCCTTCGTGTTTGTTTTCGTGTTCGAAGATTCGGTTTTTATGTCAACATGTTGCATAGTTAAAGATGATTCAGATGATTCTGTGATAGGACAAAACAAACGAAAACACATAAATCAATAATCAACGTAAAGAAAACAAAGTTAGAGAGTTTAAAAGAAAAGTGACTATCTTGGATAAAGAGAATGGAATATCTGCATCAGCCTTCTCCTTATTTAAACGAAACTTAATGAAACGATTTTGCAGTCAAGGATACGATTTTTTTTCTAAGCGGTTAAGAGGTCGCTAGTTTAGATAAAAGGCGGATGTAACTGATAAAAAAAACAAAACAAAAAAACAAAAAAAAGAGTTGAAGTGACTAAGATAAGTACCTGAGATTGGTGGTTTTGAGAGATCTTCCCCAGAACGATTTCTTAGGATCTGTTTGATTTGTTCATTAAGGTTACTATCTACTGGAAAAATAATAAACGAAAATCAAATAGATGCAAAGATACAAGAAATTCATCACAGCGATTGAGAACTAAGAAACCAATAGTTGCAGATTGTGTGACTGATATGATTTTATGATTAAGGAACACTACTATGCTTGGTCACATTTCACTATTCAGGTATGGTCTATGGAAACGAGACTTACCGTGATAACCGTGACAACTAAATTTACGGAAAAGCTCACACAAAGTATTAAATTTGTTTGTTCCTATTACTTGACCGTCTAAAGAAAAAACTATAACGAAGATTTTAACGAACCAAGCATCCCACAAGTCAAGCATCGTACAGTTCTAACTTGGTTTTCGAATAACAAAGTAAAAAGAGAACTTTTGTCGGAGGTGAGACCTAATAGTCATAACCTTGTAATTTGACGAAGGAAAATGAAAACTTGTCAAATAAGAATAAACTAAGAACATAAACTTCATTCTCCGTTGTTCTTAATTCTCAAAGTTGAGAAGAGAAAACATAAACGAAATACAGAAACGTCATTAGTGCATAGAAGACCGAATGAGTTCCTTAGAGTTTTTGAGAACAGAGAGCAAATTATTTATTAGGGTTAATCAGACACGGTTTAGCCGGTGTAGTTTGACAATTGATTAGTTACAATGTTACCAACGGAGTAAAGAACAGCCTTGAAAAGTTATTTAAGAGTTGTCTTATGACCTAAGTCAAGGGCACAAAACATATTTCCTGCATAGCGAAATTGCATTCTATTCTTGATCGCAGATTAGCTGTTAGAAAAAAAATTATTGTGTTGTGTTATTATGAGTGAGGATGAAGTGAAGTGATGTTAAATGTTACATCCAGCCAGTATGGAAGAGAGACACAGGTTCCCATCTCTTGGGCAGCTGTTGTTTACCTCTCGCTGCATCCGCTTGGCTCTCTCGAGCTCCATCCGTACACTCATGTGATGTGTTCAATCGCTCAGCAGCGCTGATTTTCCTGCCTGGTTTTTCAAAGCCCTTTTTTCTTTCTTCAATCTCTTCGATCAAAGAGTCCACTGAGCTATGGCTGCTGTTGCTACTGCCGCACGATCGTACGCTTCCATTTCCGCCTTCGGTCTGTCGAGTGCAGGGAGGCGTTGGCCAGTTGTAGGGACTGGAACCAGTGCTGCTGCGTCCTGATTGTAACGTGATTGACAGTAACTATACACGTGACTTGAATGGTCATGTGACAGGATGTGGTAAAACTGGTAACGTGACTTTTCTAAGATGATTTTGGCGTCAGTTTCTAGGTGTTACCGTACTTTACAACAAATTAATTTAATTCTTGAACTTAGTAGTTGTCTTACACTTTTTTTCCTGTTTTCCTTTTGCGTCAAAAGAATTCGAGCTTACAGAATATCACAAACTGTGTGAAGCACCTTTATTTTAAAATCCTTCAAAGCAGAGCTCTGCTCGAAGTTTGGACATAAAAATTGACATTCTTCAAATTATAACGACAATATATTCAAAGTTCTTGAGCTCACATATTCAACATTCAAATACTTTTATTCAAAACTATTTATGATAACAAGACGGGACTTCAGGTCCTTCAAAAATTGATAGAAGTATTACTGATTCTATTACAAAAATTCAATAAATTAATTTAATTGACATCAATTGCATCACCAGCGCACGAGAATTTTTTCACTGGAGCCATTCGCAATTCAATAAAAATTTCATTTTCAACTCTGCTTCAAACTCGTTGCAAATAGCACGAAGAGAAACTTCGTTTGTTCTTTTGTTTTTGTAATCGATTGTTATTTCTTAGTTTCTTTAAACAATTTTTTTAACAAAATTTTTTAAGTTTTAAAAAGTTTATCACTGAAAACATGTAGAGAAACATGGTTAGGTAATTCATGGTCAAAAAAGGCAAAATACAAGAATTCCACGGATAAGAGACGAGGTATATCTATGCATGGACAAAAAGATAATATCGCAGAATTACTGATGTTCAAAGTGGTCGACCATTGATTGACCTCATATAAGGAGAATCAAACCACAGAGTTGACCTTTTATGACGTAGCGTAAAGTGAAAATCAAACCGATTTCATCGAAGGCAAAATATACCGATGCTGCTCAGGACTCCCTGATCTTGTGAAAATCAAATTAATGGCACTCTGATTGGATTTCTTTTCTGTTTGCGGTTGCGACTTTACTATTCAGGTCATAAAAGATCTTAAGCCCTGGATTCATGGGCAGAATCAGTAAAAAGAAAATTGAAAAGTGAGAGTTTTCCAACTCCTATTTGGTCGGTCATACTACTTCCCTTAGGCTACAAGTTTTTATTTTAACTTAGATGTTAACGTTCTTGTGACCCTTAGTAAGACTCTGTCGCTAGTAAGAAAACAGTCATTAAGACCGAAATAAGTGTCAGCTAATCTGGAATAGGGCCTTTCGCTGAGATTAAGTCCTGTGTCCATAAAAGCGAGGCTGTTGTCCAAGCGTATGATGAATTACTTGAATTCAGCCACTTCTGACGAGAAAACAGAAGTATTCGGCAAAATGAAATCTGGATAAAGCGAGATGTGATGTAACGAAACGGATACAAAGAACGAATGTGGTTGAACGAAACATTTCTTGAAATCGAGAGAATCTACAGAAACGGAATGTTTATGGTTTACCGAGAAGCAATGGCCGGAAATCGACAATAGCACATAACTTAACATGCACATTTACAGTACTTATTTACTGTTAAGTCAACTTGGTTGACGACTTGCAGTTTGTTAAAACAGTTTGCTCACTTCAAATGTTAGCTAGAAAAAGAGAGGTATTTAAGAAACTACTACATTGCATTTTACTGCCTTTAAATGTTTCACACACTTGTAAAGGCGTTTTTTGTTCACACGGTTACAGATTACGTCATCAAAAAAACAAAGAAATGACACCAAATTATTATAAAATTAGCAAATAAAAACAGGAGCACACAATCACCAAAAGACACGACCCGTACGGGAAGGGTAGGCTACATAGAACAAAGAACTTGTCACACAATAAAAGTTGCATTAACCCTTTAACTCCCAAGATCTGATTGTTAATTGTCCCCTCTAGCTGTTAGAGAATTCAGTGTTTGATCAAGATAAAACCTCTTCCTTATAAGTTTGAGTATTCTCATTAACTCTTTACTGAATAACGTATGGGTATTATAGGGAGAAGTTAAATGTTTATCACTTCTGGGAATTAAATGATTAACACAAGGTACTTACGGGGCTCAGGTGATGTGGGTTTTGTTGGTGATCTGTCTCCCATGCTTTCCTCGCCCGAGCTCTTGTCCCCATATCCTGCCGTGAAGGATGCAGCCTTTCGAGGTTTGGGTAGCACTTTCGGAGGCGGCGGCTTCTTCGCAATTTTAGGTTTGACAGGAGGTGGCGCAGGTTTCTTGGGTCTCTGGAAAATGGGGTCTAACGGAAAGGAACGTGCTCTACTATTCCCTTTAGACACCAAGTCTTTAACGGACCTACTAGGGCCATTTAATTCAAATTCATGTTGATTCAGATCAGCGGTAGGTAGACACAAGTCAATGTCCTCCATTGGAGGGGGAGGGCGGGGAGGTGGCTCGTCATCATCACTGTCAGGAAATGAAATTACATTTTGTACATGTAAACTCAATGAGTCCACTTCGTTTTCCACGCTGTCCTTTCCTTTCAATTGTGACAAATCGGCATTAGAACAAGGTTCGTCCGGAACAGGAGTTCTTTGTTGATCTCGTTCTGCATCAACAATTTCTTTTTCCTCCTTTACCACAGGCTGAACTGCTGATATTGCAGGAATTTCAGACTCTGCTGACAAAGAATCCTTCACAAACGGTTCCTCGATAGTATTTTCTCTTGTTGCAAGAGAAGAAGGAGAAGAATTCCCTGGGTTTTCCTCTGTACTCATTTCAGACGCCTCCACGTCATCTGTTGACACGCCCGAGTCCTCTCCATCTAAACAGGTCTCTAAATAACCTTTCCTATCCTGCGGTCTTAATTCCTCTTCTACGCTTTCCAGCATGTTTTCATTTTCATCTCCATGTTTCAGAGCGTTAACAGCCATCCAAATCTTCCTCTGATGGCCTGGTCTCTTGACTCCGATGGCCACAAGGTCCTCTACCGTCATGTCCTGAAGAAAATCCATGTCGTCGAAACCGCCGTCCATGAACTCAGGTATGTACTGCTCCAAACCAATCAGACGTAGCCACGTCATAATATCCTCCTGTGTAAGAAGTAACGCATACAGTCGCTAGAGTTTTTACATACGAATGCACAATGGCTCTAGGCTCTCCAACATCCCCACCATCTGTCTCACAGTTTGTTTATGTCTTCAAGATGGAGTGATCTCAGAAAATGCGTGAGATAATATTAAACAGCTTGAAATTATGACAGAGAAACTTCAAACCTCAAATTGTCTCGTTGATTGAGTTGAAATTATCAGTAATCTTCTCAGAACGAAAGATACTCACCGGTTTTTCCTTCGGGAACACCGTTGTCTCCTCTAGTTTTGCGGACTCCGACATAATTCTTTTCCTGTGCCCAGTTTTATTCACATTTATGGCCGTCAAATCCTGGACAAATAAAGAGAAAAAGAAAATGTGTGAAAAAGAAACCTAAAAAAGCACCGAGGGTACACTAAGACACGAACAAACAACCCGTTGGCTAGTAATAAACAAATTCTCCCTGTCAATACCATAAGAAATGTACGGCGAGCAGTATGGAGAATATACACACTGATGTTACGGTGTAGAGTGTTAAAAAGAAAAAAAACCTCTCTCAGTTTCAAAGGCTTGATTTGTGACACGTTTCGAAAAAAAAAGCTCAAATTATCAAAACGTGCAGAAAGGCATTGTTACCATTTTTTGGATAATTTTTTGGTACTATTTTAAAGTACACCATTACTACTAAGGGAGGGTTGGGTTGAAATCTATCAGTATTGAGCGAGGGGAGGGAGGCAGAGTGTTATTACTCAGGGAGGGATGAGAGACGGACCATTACTACGCAGGGAGGGGTGGAAGGTGGTTGTAATAGTAAACACTACTGGTTAATGGAGCTTTTACTCGATCGTATAAATTTCAGATAAGCTTTCGCATGACAAAAAAATGAAGAAAAGCCGCGGCCCAGCGCTAAAATTTTTGACATACAAAAAGTCAGTCGAAAAACTGATTAAAATAATTTGTACGATCGAGTAAAAGCTCCATTAATCAGAAATGTTTACTATTACAACCACCTCCCACCCCTCCCTGCGTAGCAATAGTCCGTCTCTCACACTTCCCTGAGTAATATTACTCTGCCTTCCACCCCTCTCTGAGAACTAATGGTGTGCTTTCCCCCCTATAAAATAGTCCAAAAAATAGTCCAGTCAATATTTTACCTTATGCCTAGCAGAAAGATCATCTTAGCGATAAACGTAACAAAAATTACATTGCGTGACGACACTTTATCAGGTGATAAATAAATGACTTCTCTTTTTTCATAACAATTGAATGAGTAATGATGACTCCGCAGGAACGATAAGCTATCGAGTTTCTTACCTCCGCTGTGATTCCATGAACACTTGTCATATCGAATCCACCTTTTACAAAATTATCGATGTAGATCGTTAATTTAAACTTCTCTAGCCAGTCAAATAACGCGTTATAGTCTCGCATCTGGAAAGAAAAAAAAAAAATCCTGAGCAAAAGTTATGCTATCCGACAGATCATCAAGAAATTCCTTCCGTATATAGTGTAAAACATGAACAAATGATTTGAACTTTGCACGAGCCCTCTCAATCAAATCACAGTAAATAATATCGTGGTAGAAAGATAGATGAACGAAGGTCACAACTAAAAGCAAAAATAGGCAAAGTGCGTTATCCGAAGGGTAAAAAACATATTTAGATGACTACTCAAAAATCATTTCTAAGAAATTGAGTAAAAAAGACTTCAGGTTAGCTTTGTTGAGTAGAGACACGGCAATTGAGAGACAGAAAGGTAGTTCTCCAGAAGTCTTACCTAAGGTCCCACACTAAGCAATGAGGTGGACACTAACGGTATCGAAGGATGCAGTGAGGATTTACCCAAATAACGTGTCAAGTCAATTTGTTTGTAAATTCACCGAGACATTTCTATATAACCGCAAACGGCAGGCGCTCAAAGGGAGAAATTCCACAGTTTCCGAGCTCTCAAATGGCCTTTTCACGCCTGATACTACTTAATAAGGTTACAGTCAGAATCTAAAATTCTATTTAAAGTTCGTTGACTAATCTCTTTCCTTCCTATATTTCCTGTGTGCCCACATTTCCTAAACTCAACGGCAGGGAAGACACCCACGCAGAAGGAGAGCATTTGCTCCACAAAATCGCGCTGTTTACCCCCAAAAAACATGCACGAGGCAAAGGGTACAGTTTTTGTCATGAAAATACCCGAGTGAATTTAACACTGTGATCGTGTTAGAATGGGAAGAACAAGCCATTTCAACACTGAAATCAATGATTTTGTTACTGCTTCAAACAAACTTGACCTATATATTTCCGGTATGACTCAGTACATCTGTCATTCTATTAATATAATTCTCATTTACAAAGTTTACACCCAACTCCAGCAGAGATACAGGTTTTTGTCATTTTCGACCCACCCACTACCACGCTCCTTTTTATCACGTGGATCATATGAGCTAAGGCCCGCCCGGTTTGCGGAGTTAGATAAAAGAACATCACTATATTGCTAAAATTGCAATCCAAGTTAATCTTCTACATTCAAGACCACCCTCCTTCCTTCTTAGTCTCACACTGCCTCTTTAGTTCTTTTTTATGTTAGGAAACAATCATTCTAGACTATTCATCAATTTTGGGCAATATTCAAATCATTCAAATCAATTTAAAAAAAAATATATATATATATATATTGCTACACAGCTCTAAGAAGACCGTTCGCTTTTCCGACGGTTTCCTCGGAGAGTCACAGACACGAAATTGTAGGGTGGATCACGGTTTGTTCATCCTGAAGAATTTTTCCGGAAGTTTACAAGTTCGTGAGTCGTAATCCGTTTAATCTACTCCATCTTAATTAACACTTTTCCCTTTTGGTTTTATCCTTTCCGTGTCTTTTTTTTTTCCCAGCCAAATTAATCCGAGGTGTCGAGTTGAGAATTAATTTACACGTCGAATAAAAAACCCATTTAATCCTCATATTCAGTAGCCTTGGTAGCTCAGTGTGCAGTCCCTGCATTCTCTTACGGCTTATGCGCCTGTCGGCCATAATGCCATCGGTCGAATTAATAATACCGCAAGGTTGCGCTGGGTGAAACTTGGTAACCTCACCTTGAGTTGGAGATGACCCGTAGCTTGCGCGGGACTGCCTACGTCTCCTGAGGAAAACAGGCAATTAATAATCAATAAACGGAAAGGCCAGAAAGGAGTACAGTAACGAACTAAATATGGCATTGACACGTGGAACTCTGTCACTCTTTGTATGCCCTGACGGAAAACTTAGGCTGAAATTTTCATTTTCACCCGTTGTAATTTCTCTCAAAGTTCTCCATACTTCGCTATTCTTGATCCCTCTTAGTTTCAAATGAACCATGTTGATTTTTTTTTCAATTTCAACGAACTTACAGTAGCTTAACACAGCACAAAGAATGACTCAAAGTATCATGACATAGCTTCTTTCACCCTTTACGACTTTAACTCTTCACAAAGGTGACCAGTCTTTGGCATCAGTGTTTAACTTTTCGGTACACAGGTAATGAGAAAAGATCGACTTGATGGTGTTATGATAATAAAATCCCCATTTCTCGTCAGTAATTCACAAAGAAATGTGTAACAGCGAGAAGGGAGATTTATAAATCTGATCTTGGTCATAAGAGGATTCACTGAGCCTCTTCGAATACAAAGTCGGGGAATGGATCGCACCATAATTCAGTGACTCGAAACAGATCTGGACTGACAAATTTGGAGGAGACGGTGTGCAGGGAGCTTAAAAATGAATGGATATCCAATCGTTAAATCGTTTGCAAGGGATACCTAATTTTAATGTACATACCTTGTCGGTCGATATTAACGTACTGATGGTTCACTGGAACAGGGCGGCTGTTCATCAGCTCATAATCCATTCCATCTTTACCCTCATCTACAGAGAGATGTCACCAAAAAGGTTACGATTAACATGCCTATTTCTTAGAAAGAACACACTTCAAGACACACACAAAAAGATGGCTAGTATAGGCTTAGATTCCTGCTTAAATCCCTGGTTGTTTTTACTTGGTTTGGTAGGTGATAAAATATTTCCGGTTTATATTTTTAACACCATTGAAAAAGTAATACCCGTTTTTTTCTCTATCTTTCTCTTGTGCGTCCCTTTGAGCATACACTGGAAACAAAACGCAGGAAAGGCGCGACAAACTCCATCTCGTCCCAATCTTCTCTCCCCTAAAGCCAAGGTAGCTAGCGCCAGCTCGCGAGGAGAAAAATTACAGAAAGCTTATAATAACCTAAAATAAAAACTAGAAACGGTACCAAGAGCTAGGGAAATGCGAAGGATCAAGTTGCGATTGGTTTTACTTCTGCATCTGATTGGATGGAAGCGAAGCGCGTGTTTTTACACAATCACAAAGCGGAATAAACTAACATCAAAGTAAACCCGAATAGGATCAACTTCTCTGAGAATGTTATCTTTACCATTATCTGAGTCTTCATTGTCGTCATCTGGAGCCTGTTTACTTGTTCTGGTTGATGTCGAGTCAGCAGACATACCGCCCGTCATAGCCAGGTAAGCTACTTTATTCGAAATGTTCGCGTACTCGGGTCCAACTGGTTTGGGCGCATTTGACGCAACATTTTCGTAGCCTTTGGAATTTGTTGTTTGTGAAGAAGGTCCATTAACAACTACATAACCGTCCGCCCCCACACCTACTCCCACTGGTTGGTCGACATCACAGATCAACATGCTTTGCATATCACAAGGCGGCTTCGCTCTGTGCGTCAGTTGCACGTTCTCGTAAGCAAGCCCTTGCTTCGGAGGATGTTCTCTAATATCATGGGGTTGAAGTTTCCATATGTCTTCACTAGGTGGTGTCGCTCGACCCCCAGACGCTGGAGTTAAACTCATGTCCTCGTATCCTTTCCGCGACAATTCGGGAGTTGCGACCCGCCGCGCAGGCTGACCAGTATCAAGACCCGTACCGCTCGCATGATGCGGACCCTCTGCACGTGATTGTCCCGCGGGATGTGGCAGAGACGCAGGAGGCCTTCCTGATTTAGCACCTGGCTCGATCGAATCGCATGCAGCAATAGGAGCTGCGCCTTTTGCAAGTTCCCTTATTTTAGGTGGCAAAGAAGGCGGGGGAGTAGACGTGTTTCGAACCCAGATATCTTCCATCTCGTTTGCGGTACTTGCTGTTTTATTTTCTTTATCTGGTAGCTGTGGCGCCTCATCGCTTTCATTGACTTCTTCCACTAATCCATTTGATGATGGTAAACGAACCTCAGCGTAATTCGTTTTGTTGTTCAATTTGTTACCCGCTATAAAGGCCTGAGGAGGAGACGAGGGAGGTTTGTCAACCGCAACCTCCACATACTGCAGGCCTGGATCAGCTGCCATTTTAACTGATCCTTTTTGAGCTTTGACTCCTTTGAAAGGTAAAATTGGTTCCACCAGCACCTTATCAGATTCCACGTCTTGATCACCTCGAGAGCGGTGATCTTTTTTACCAAAACTTTTTAGTCGAGGAGAGTTTCTTTGAAAACCAGGAGAGGGTGGAACTAGAAAGAAAAGTAAAACTACAATTGACTCGAAGCTCCAATGATCGATTATCTGTGCTGACTGCCCGTCATACTTTGTGACGTAAGATGAGGAAAACTAACCTAAAACTACGGCTGTACCTAGCTCATCAAGATATATCGGCTAGCTGATTATTGACATAGTTCTCTTAAATTGTTTGCTTTTTAATAAAATGTGCGGCTGTTATTGGTAGAATCGATAAGCTCATTAATGAACCCATTGCTGGCATAAAAAAGATCGGGTTTGATCAGGCTAAAAATAGCGTGTGTTGAACTTCTGCAAGTACAGCTACGACAAAAATGAGAACGAACGCAGGAGAAGCGTGTGGTGGGGTGGGAAGGGGGCAGGGTTGGTTGGAGCGAGTAGCCAGTGGGCAAAAAGAAGGAGGATAACTAGAGTTTATATAATCAGACATGTCTTTCTCTATTTAACCTCAGTCCTTAGAGCCACTGTTTAATAAATACCTGATGGTAGTGCGATCATGTCGTAAGATCCCGTCGGTACTACACCAGCTTCTTTACGATTCGGTGACTTCTTGGCTGAAAGTAAGAACACAAATAGACGAAAACGTCACTTGAAATCAATTTTGAGCGGAACTGAATTCTTGGGAAAAGTCAAATCAGTTAAGACGAACGTAATTGATTCAAACGTCGATCTTTCAATTGAATGAATCAGGTTAACTTTATTTGACTACATGAGAAGTTTGGATTTTAGGTAAACGAGAGAAAATCAGGCATGATGTATCTACAGGCCCACGTGCTTTTTGCATATAGAATTACTTTACTGTACTAACCATTGGAGCCTCTTCTTAGGGCAGTAATCCTCACAAAGTTAGCAGGGAAGTATCCAATATTTTCCCTCTGAAATTTCAAATGGAAATTATGTAAACTAACTATATTTCAATTACTTTGTCGCTAACAATGTTGACCTTTTCCAAACGATCCTGAGAGCATCCACGACAAATACTCGTACAAGTACGTTTAACATTTATACGTAATATACGCACATGAGATTAATGCTGGAATAAAACGCCACAATAAGAGCCCCGTAATCAAGTAAAAAGTAAATTCACTGAACGTCATAAAACTGAAAAAACCTTACATCTCCACTCTTTATTTTCCCTTTCCATCGGTCATTCTGGTTTTGTTCAAGCACCT